TTGGAGTCTATGTTGATGATTTGATCATCACAGGAGTCAATCAACAGAAGATTGAAGCCTTCAAGGCAAAGATGAAGCAAACCTTTGAAATGAGTGATTTGGGTCTTCCGTCTTTCTATCTGGGAGTTGAGGTGAGACAATGCAGGGGAGCATCACTCAAGCAAACCCATTATGCTAAGAAGATACTTGAGCTTGGTGGTATGGCGGGGTTGTAATCCACCACACCACACCCATGGAAGAAAGGTTGAAATTGAGCAAGGAAAGCCACACAAATCCAACGCAAAGATGTAAGACCTGGTTGGCGACTTGAGATACCTAGTGCACACAAGACCAGGCCTTTTGATGTAGGGTATGTTAGCAGATTCTGGAGAAGCCAACAACCCGAACATCTTCACCAAGAGGATCTTGAGATACCGGCCGGTACTCTAGATCATGGGCTCTGCTACACCGTAACAACAGAAGCAAAGCAAGGTTTGTGGGTTACAAAGATTCCTGATTTGGCCGGAGATGTTGATTCAAGCAAAAGGACAACTGGATGTTTGTTCTTCCTTGGAACCACTGCTGGTCACCGGGTAGTCAGTCAAAACAGAGTTGTTGCTCTGCTAGCATTGTGAGGTGAATATGTGGCGATGACAACAAATGCAACTCGCTTTGTGGTTGTCAAGACTGCTTTCATTTGTTGGGAAGAAAAGTTGAGGTGGTGGAACTCGAGAGAGACAATAAGTCCGCTCTGCTTTGACAAAGAATCTGCTTTTCCATGACAGAGCAAGCATATTAGAATTAAGCATCATTTCATCGTAGATTGTGTGGAAGAAGGTAGCATCAAGACAGAGTTCATTCCCACTACTGAATCAGCTCAGATATATCGACTAAAGCCTTGGGCAAAACCAAGCCGGGAAGAGATGAGGAGCAGGATTGGGATCAAGGAGATCAAGATTAGTTGAAGCAGATCTTAGGGGGAGAAATGTAGTTAATAAGCCCTGCTTCCTAAGCACTTCCTAGATAACTATGCTAGTTAATTACAGTCATTAAAGACCTTGGACAGTCCAAGAGGTGTGTACGGCTGCCAAGGCACCTATCTGATTAGCTATGCTCTAATGAGCTGTTTGTAATCAATGCAATATCTATCTCTATATATAATCAAGGAGACGGCCTGGGGTTTGTGGCTTTTTCAGGCTAATCAAGTCTGTGTTACCTCCAACAGCTCCCAAAACAACCGGTTATTGGGCAGCAAATCTGTTTTATTATTACTATCTGAACACTTCTATGTGATACCCCGACGTGACATTCCTAAACTTTAGCCGCTGAATTTAAACAAGGCCTAAATGAATGGATGTGACGTAGCAGGGCATATAAGTGCAGAGGCACAGTGATGATAGCAGCAACATGTTGGCAAAAGGGGCAAAATTGACCCAGACACTGTCACTTTGGTGGACCTGTGTCCCGGCCATTTAGAAAAGGCAAGGGCCAAATTGGCCCTCGCTGGATATGCAACTTCAGTTTTTTATTTTTATTTTATTTTTTTGATGAGAATGATATGCAACTTGAGTTAACCATCCAGGCATCCACTGCTCTGTTTTGCATCCACCATTGTCTGCACTGCAACGAACGTATAATAATGTGCTAAAATCTGGATTATATATCTTCAGTAACCAATTCATGGTATTCTGTGGTATCATTTTTTTTTGGGTGACGAAAACAGGGGGTGTCGAACGTGTTTCTTCTGCCATTTTGCTCCTTGTGTTTTCTGGGCCATTACGCACTGCATGACGACGCATATAAATCAACAATTTTTATTCAATAGATGAGAGGTTGGTGGTTGGCCGTGCACGAAACATGAATACAGGAGACGATCCTCGTCCAGGTGTCCTGCAGCTAGCTAGGTAGCCCATGCGCTAGGTGTCCTGCAGCTAGCCAAGGCCATGGCCGGAGCAGGATGGGTTATGGGTAGTCCACCCACCGCGCGCACCGAATCTGGTTGCTAGCTAGCTCGCTCATCACGTACAGCAAATAAATCAGCAAATGCAACAAAGCCAACCTCTAATTTCGATTCGAACAACTAACCACTATATAAACCACCACACGCGCTGCGGCAGAGACCAGACCACTGACTAAAACTGCATTGCTGCTAGCTGTCAACTAATTAGCCAGTCCAAATGAAAGGCACATTTGCAGCAGCAGCACCCAGAAATATGCGCTTTACATCGATCACAAAGATAGTTGTAGTGGTTGGCATGATGAGCTTATACCTCGAGCTCCAGTTGCGTTCTTTGGTCAAAGTTTTACTCCCTCCCTAAAAATCAAGTCATTCTCATCTTTCGAAAAGTCAACCGATTTGAAGCTTGATCAAATATTCAAAGGCACTAATATTTATGATGTACAATAAGTATCATTAGCTAAATAGTGAAGCAGGTTTTTACAATAAATAAATAAAGATATTTAAACATATAGATGTTGGCAACTAAGTGTTAGTAACCTAGCTAAAGTCGTTTAACTAACTAACCCTAAACGGGTTAGTTTTTTTTTTAAAAGGAATAGGATTACAGATGAAAATCCTTTTCAAAAAGAATTTCAAATAAAAAAATCATATTGGTTCGTTTGGCTGCTCTTACTTTGTTTGGTTCGTTGCAATTTCTTTGGTTAAATGAAATCTCTTGTTGCCTTTTTGTGTAAAAATATGGCTCTCTTAAAAAATTTACGATCGTTTTGACGGCCACACACCAAACGAAAGGGGCGCGTAGGCTGTTTGGTCAATGCAACCATGTTAGTGGCTGCCAGCTTTCGTCTAGCTAGAAAGCAGGATGGCTCTGGATAATGTATTCTGTATTTTCATACCAGGGAAGGATGCATGGTTGTTGCTCTCTCTTATCTCTCTCTATCTGCAACGACGCGGTTTCAGTCACCGCGCGCCGCCGGCCGTCAGCCTGGTGCTGCTGACCGCTGGCATGGCATGGCATGTGAGGAAGGATCGAAGGAGAAGGAGAAGTCGCCCGCCGCATGTACAATCTGCCCATGCATGGACGCGCGCATCGCAGTCGCAGTCGCAGGCAGCAGCGCGAGCCAATGCGCGCGCGTGGAACAGACAAGAGACGGTAGCAAAGCACACCATGTGAATGAACAAGGATGAAGACTGAACATTCAGTCACTCCTCCTACCAGGTGTGCCCTGCATCCACTATAAGAGTTTACGTGGGAAGCCGCACGGCAAAAGCTAGTTTTTACACTGAATTCACGGCTGCAGTGCATTTGGCTATGCCTATGCAAAGGAATCTCGTGCCCACAGGCGACAGGCCACACACACACAGCGCAGCGCGACAGCGACGGCCCAGGCCTAAGGGGAGATACAAGAAGAAGCATCCACCAAAGACAGGTGCAGCCGGGCTGGGCAGGCATCATTCCTATTCCTGCCTTGTTTTCTTCTCCTTTCTTTTGCCGGCCGGCAGAGCAGAGTAGTATGCGCGTGCTACAAGGACTCGTAGAGTAGAGGCTCTTTCATTCTCAGCAGCCGGTGGGAGGGAGAGGAGACAGAGAACCGCGTCCTTGCTCTGCCTGCACGCTGTCCCTGCAGGCAATCAAAGGAAAGACTGAATCAGCTAGCTAGCAGGGCCAAACCAAAACAATCTTTCACCACTCTACCAAAGTAGGAGTACATTCGACTTTCGAGGACCCTGTGTGCTGTGATGTAAGCATGCCAGAGGAAAGCGTGTGTGGTGTTTAGACGAGGGGTAAAGTTTTTGGTGTCACATCAGATGTTATATGGGATGGTCGGATACTAATAAAAAAATAAATTACAGAATCCGTGAGTGAACCGCGAGATGAATTTATTAAGCCTAATTAATTCATCATTAGCATATGTGTACTGTAGCATTTTGTTGTCAAATCATGACCTAATTAAGTTTAAAAGATTCGTCTCTCAAAGTAGTCGCAATCTGTACAATTAATTAATTTTAGTCTATATTTAATACTCTATGTATGTGTTTAAATATTCGATGTGATAGGATGTAAAGTTTTAATAGAGGAACTGAACGAGGGCTCAATTCCTTCCTCCAAATCCAAAACAGGGAACGACTATTGGGCGGCCTTTCCATTTTCCAGGGGCCCACACGTCGTCCTCGCGAGTCACAACTAACCAACCAAACCGTATTTTATCCAAAACCACAGCATTTGCAGTTGGTTATACAAAGATGATATACAAAGTTCAGCTCATATCGTCATTGGCTACATCTTTTTGTGCTGTGTGAGAGAAAAATACTATTCCGACTGAAAATTTACGATAAACCACAGCCAAACGACGAACAGGCTGCATGTAAACAAAATCCGCGAAAATGACGCGGCAACGATCGACGACAGAAGGATGATAAACGCGCCCATTTTGGACTGTACCGGATAATCGTATACGCCTCCTGCTCTGCTCAGCGTCCGAAAGAAATTAATCATACGCTCAATCATCATAACTAACCACATGACCCCTACTACTCCTACTCTACTACCTACAGTTGCAGTCCTTATCGCCCAAGATTATATTGGCCATAAACTCCACCAAGACACCCATCAAAATGAGCCAATCACAAAACACCAACCATTAGCCCCACCCCCCCAAAAAAAAGTGTACAAAATTCAGCTCAAAACTACACCTTTTGTGCCAAAAAAAAAAAAAGAAGCAAGACAGCACACAGTCAACTTTACAAATGGCAACCGAAACCAAAACAGAATAAAGAAATTAAAAAATTTCGAACGCGCATACTTCTACACGAAGCCGAAAGCGTGTGCACGACTGACTCCCCAAACGCGCAGCGTCGTCTTGTGTATATAAACACACCGAATTCGCAGAAACGCATCAGCAGCATTCATTCAGCACACAACAAACGCAAACAAGAGGACAACCCAACGCGCACAACCAAACCACACGCGGCTGCCAGCAAGAAACCGAGTTGGTTCATTCGTCGGCGAACGACGGCAATGCACGCCAGAGGCAGAGCGCGCCCCGCCGCCGCGGGCACGATGAAGAAGGCGGCGGCGTCACCGGCGCCAGCGGCGACGGTGGTCCTGGCGGTGGCGGCCCTGCTCCTCTCCTCGGCGGTGGCGGCCGTCTCCGGGCAGCAGCAGCCGAAGCAGACGGCGGACAACAACCCGCGGCTGCAGAAGGCGTACGTGGCGCTACAGGCGCTGAAGCGGTCGATCACGGAGGACCCCAAGAACCTGACGACGAACTGGTGCGGCCCGGACGTGTGCGCCTACTTCGGCGTGTACTGCACAACGGCGCCGGACGACCCTCACTCCCAGACCGTGGCCGGCCTCGACCTCAACCACGGCGACCTGGCGGGGACGTTCCCGGAGGAGCTAGGCCTACTCTCCGACCTCGCGCTGCTCCACCTCAACTCCAACCGCTTCTCCGGCACCCTCCCGGAGTCCCTCCCCAAGCTGCGGCTCCTCCACGAGCTGGACGTCAGCAACAACCGCCTGACCGGCGGGTTCCCGCAGCACATCCTGTGCCTGCCCAACGTCAAGTACGTCGACCTCCGGTTCAACAATCTCTGCGGTCCGGTGCCGCCGGCGCTCTTCGACAAGCCGCTCGACGCCATCTTCCTCAACGACAACCACTTCGACTTCGAGCTCCCCGAGAACCTCGGCAACTCGCCGGCGTCGGTGGTGGTGCTCGCCAACCTGCGCCTGCGCGGGTGCATCCCGCCGAGCGTGGCGCGGATGGCGGGCACGCTCAACGAGCTCGTCGTCCTCAACGCCGGGCTGCGGTCCTGCATCCCGCAGGAGGTGGGGTGGTTACGTGAGCTCACCGTGCTGGACCTCAGCTTCAACGAGCTCCAGGGCATGCTGCCGGAGTCCTTGGCCGGGCTGCACAAGCTCCAGCAGCTCGACGTCGCGCACAACGAGCTGTGGGGGCATATCCCTGAGGGCGTCTGCGCGCTGCCCAGCCTCAGGAACTTCACCTACTCGTACAACTACTTCTGCACCGAGCCGCAGCGGTGCCTCGACATCCGCCGCGTCGACGACCGCCAGAACTGCATCGCCGGACGGCCCGACCAGCGGCCCACCGACCAGTGCCTCGCCTTCCTGCACCGCCCGCCCGTGCACTGCGACGAGCACGGCTGCTTCGGGCCGCCGACGCACTACTAGAGACTGGCGCTGGGAGAGACCGATCGAGAGAGCCGCCGCCGGCCGCGTCGCCGCGCCGGGACTTGTAAAATTCGTTGGTGGTGGGATGGGATGTGAGACCGGAAACGGGTAAATTCATAAACAGAAAACGACCGTAGTATATATTATACACTGTAATTCTTCTTTTCCTTCTCTCTTTTTTTTCTCTTCCTTTTCACAGGAGTGGTATTGATTGAGTATATGTTGGGATTGTAGACAGAAATGATAGTGCATTTTACACTGTTAATTTAATTACCCACTGACCAATAATCTCGATCTGTACTAGTACCACTTGAGAGTACAAATCCTTGTAACTTTTCTTTTCCAATTTATTTATTTCTTGGCTTTCTTTGATAACTTTATTTCTTGGCTTGGAAGGGAGCTAACATGATGCCATATAACAAACCCAATCAACCAATATTAGTCAAGGAATAGAAAAGAGTTCCTAACCGCAAGAAAAGAAAGGTAGCAAGAACATCCATTAATATTTTATTCATTATAAAAATCATTAAGCAGGAAGACTAATAAAACAAAGCAGAAGTAATGAATAATCCAGGTCAGGGCCACCAAATGGTGAGAGGAAATGAGTGGCCTGCACAGCTGATTAGGATGGGGTCAAACAAGGACTGCCGAATTAAATAAAAGGCTACAGATGCCCATCCAATGGCCTCCAGCTGCAAAGCTGGGAGCTCCCAACCTTCCTCCCTCCCTCCCTCCCTCCACATGTGCACATCACCTTGGCTGGATCCAGCTTACACACACTGGTACACACTTCATTCAGATTACTGTTCAACTGGTGCATGTTCAGATGCATATATGCTGCTGTGTGTTCAATGCCAATGTCCTTGTCACACACACACATCACTCACCAGCCTGATTAAACAGGACATATACATGTATATATATTTATATATATCTATATATAAACATAAATAAAGCAATTGAAGTGTAAAGAAAGAAAAGGTAGAGAGAGCTCGAGATACAATTGCGGCACCACTACTTTCAGCTCTGATGGTCTAGGTTTACTTATAGATATATGATGAGTGCCCAATAGGACATGGCGGTGAGACGGTTTTCGGCGACGGCGACCTGCCGACGGCGATGGCGCTGAAGGGGAGAGAGAGATCCTGACGGCAACGTGCATGGGCATGCAGGGCCGATGACGCTGAGGAGTTCAGAAGAAGCCGCGGAGCAGTTGCCGTCCGAATCTGCTGAAAAGCCGGCCGGTTGCGCGACAGGCTGGCGCGGAAATCAACTTGGGCGAGCACTGGACAAACGGTGAGGCCGTTTCATCAAGGAGAAAACGAGGTCCATGAGGGTGACCAGCTTCATTCATCAGAACAACCTTGGGGCCGCCATGGCATTATGCATCTTAGACATGTTTGTTATTTGTTTGCGTTAGCCCTGCCTGCTATGCTACTTGACAATAAACAAGATGCCAAATCAGGATGATGGATCACTGTTAGCTCATCCATCCATCCTGTTTAAGCTAATCAGTTTATTTTGGCAGGTAGAGAGGGAGGTGCATATATATATTACATATATGTGCATATCTCTGTCATATATCTATGTGTATAATACATGGCTTTAGTTAGTCGTGTGGTATGCAATAATGCAAGGCAGACAGGCTAGCAGGTAGGCCTAATGCACTGTCTAATTGGCAGGCAGGCATGACACAGAGGAGAATACGAAGGTGCTTGCCCACCAAGGGACTCTGACAACGGCATATCAGCAACTAACATTACTCCAAGCCTCCAACACACAGTTCTTTGGCACCTAGAGTACAATTCTTCAGCAAACATGTACTGATGGTTGGTGCTGGAGCAGTTGTTTCTTCAACCATCATCTGCCATTTGGTAACCGTTTTATGTTCTTCGACGACAAAACTCCTTTTCCCGGATCATCAACAACCTCCACTTAGCTGAGTGCTCAGAATTTTCATGGACCATGGATGCAGTGCAGAATTCGTACCAGTTCAGGAATGGGGAGCCTGACATCTCAACGCCCATTGCAACTGTTCTAAGACAGTTCAGACTCCAGAGTATCACCCATAGCTTGTACATGAATGGGATTAGGAGGGCACATGGTTGCAGGAAAGAGATACATGACCAACCTCAAACACAGCCTACGCTCGACACATGTCACGCTAACACATGACTGCATGAGCTGTCTGATGACTAGTTTATTTTGTTTAGTGATAGAGGTGGCTTCAGATTTGGAAAAGAGTTTTCAATGGAAAACATGGACTGGAATCCTTTTCAAAAATAAACATGGACTGGAATTATGAAACCTACTAAACAGGTGATTTGTAATGTTGCTACAATTTAAATAAAGATAACAGCTTCAAGCATCACATCATCTTACATACAGATTATTGGGGCTACATATTTTGCAAATACAGATTACTGCAACTTAAAATCTAACTTACTATTCTCTAACGGTACCTCGAGCCTTGCCGTAGGATGTGAGGCACATATTCGGACTACAAATCGTACTCCGGTCACATGGCCAGCTTCACAGCTTTAAGATGGTCCTGATGCAGTGGACAAGGTTATGAATGAGATGCTTCTATCGATGTCAAGATAGCTCACATAACACTAGTGCAATCTGCACAAAAACAATGCTTACCTAAAGTGAGAGGTGACACGCTGAATGTGCTATCAGTGTTGTTCATTGCAGAACCGCTGATTGTGTCTCCCACAAGTGATGGAAATGAGGGAATTGACTTCAGTATCAACTTCCTACCACCCTTTCGGTTCAGGGAAATACTGAGCCCATTATGTGGCGGCAAGACCCGTTTTCCGTTGGGTGAAGTAGTCTTGACACAGTTATTAGGAGAATTAGGTTCTTTTAGAATATCTGGCATCTCCTCATCGATACCACTAACAGCAATCTTGGACGATTTACAAGGCTGTACTGTTGCAGTAGCTTTTGAAGCAGACGAACGGGAGTTCACACTGCGAGGTTTGGACGGTCTCGGTGGTTTTGCACTTGAGAAATTTGGCAGTTTGAGCAGAGAACTGCAAAAAATTACTCGGTTATTACTTAATCAAATGCAGAAGCAAACATACTAAGCATGCTCAAGCAGAGAAATATGTAATAAGCAAACCTGGAAAGATCAAAAGGAGGTGTTATTGGGACAAGGTCAAGGAGGGGGTGATCTTCGCTCTGTACATTTGCTTTTTGTTGATCGTTGTCCTTTTGTTGTGGACAATTTTCTGTTTGCTCACTTTCTTGTTTCATTTCTTCAGTGAGTTCAGTCTCGGCTGATGGAGCAAATGCCAACAAAACAATAATAATCAGAGGAATGACTTAACCACGGTGCCTTGTTCATTTCAGAGTTAAGAATAATATGGGTGTGTTAGGTACTCTTTCTGAGATGAGAATATGCAAATGTAGCATATATCAAGGAAACAGAAGTTGATTATTCAGAAAGCTGAAACAGCAAACGATTGCAAAGACAAAAGGATGCTCTCTGAAATGTGATGTTTTTTTTTCCCTTTAGAACCACCTATGCTGTCATAACAATTTTGTTTGGACATGAATCTTTCATGTTTTATATTGAAGTCATGATACACCTATTTTAAGGAAACTTTTTTTTGAGGAAACTATTTTAAGGAAACTCACTACCAAAATATCCAGAGTGACATGTTTACAAATTAATTACAGTGGTGTCTCATGCAAATTAAAATCATAGGCAACGTAATCCTATAGATGTTCAGTGCATAGAAACGCTTTTTAATCAGAACACTGCTGAATTTCTATTCTTTTAAGGGATACATCAGAAGTTATTAGTATATAATATAGTATGTCAGAAAGATGCCCCGGGAAGAGACTGTACATGTTTCTAAATAATAATAATTACGAATCTGCAAAATGAATAAGTATAGCATGGTTATACAAATTTCAAAAGTTAAATGCTCACCATCTCTTCTGCCAAAAGTATTTTTGCAACTCTCACATCTGCAGTTGGTGGAGCATCCAACACCTCCCTTTATTCAATCAAACATTTAAAACATAAGTAAAATCCAACAGGTATGATTTCAGATGAGATCATCACAACTTGGAAGTACCTGATAGCATTCACAGTATTTCTTGAGACAGCTTGACTTCTTGCAATTGCATCCTCTCTTGTGACGAGCTGAAGCTGGAGTACTGTTAGGATCTTCCTGCAATTCATTGTAGAATTTAAGGATCACACAGTTTGGGGGTAATGACTAACACAAGTACATCTCAATATCCAACAGAACTACAGAACACCTACCCCAGTTTCCAGACCAGCATCAGACATACGGATCACTTTTGGAGCAAATGCTAGTGGATTACGAAACTCTATCTGCTTCCGAGTGGAGAGAACAATTTCCTCATGTATGGGTTTGTTCAGACATCCTTGACATGAACAAGGTTCTGAGCAGTATACACCAGCAGCAAAACACTCGCAATAACTGCACATGACAACAGTAGGCAATAATTATGAGAATAATGTAAAGCACATCCGCTTTACCCAAAGTAGTTCCTTCCAGTTACAAGCCCAAACATTTCAGAAGGAGACCCTTCATGTAAGCAGGTTCACAAAATCTTAATAATATATGAGTATGGAACACATACAGTTTCAGGCACTTTGACTTCTTACAGCTGCATCGCTTGCATGCCTCACCATCATCACCATTATCTGTTTTACGTCTGTGTTTGAACCAAATAGTTCAGTTAATTGAAGTGTAATGAAATATAGTAATCATCTTGTCGCCATCCAAGCAAAACCAGAAGTAAAACAAACCTCTTCTTTTGAGGGCTGACACTTTGTCCTGAAACATGATCATTTACAGGAAAACCTCCAGCTGAACAATCATCCATGGGAAATTCTAACAGTTCACCACCAGAGTGTGTAAAATTCTCTCCTGCAGAAAGCAGCTTGCTATGCACATCCTTTTCAGATGCTGACGACGGAAGCAAAGCAGAATCCGTAGGATCCTGACAAGCCATTTTCCCTTTTGGTGTTAATGCAAGGGCATTCAAATGTAGGCCAATGCCTCGCAGTCCACGTGGTTGGGTTTGTACAGGGCTTTTGCCTTTACATGTTGAGACAGAGAGATTCTCAACAGTCCCTTTTTTCACAACACTATTTGAAAACCCAGATGCCTCAAAAACCAGGCAGCGTCTTCGTATGCCACGTTGTTGTTGGCTCTCCACCTGAACATGTCAACAGGAAGAAAACGGATGAGAGAGCATTATGGTAGAATAGATAGCCCTAACATGCAAGGTACAGTACTCTATGGAGGAACAGTCCTAAACAGCATGGGCAACGTTTTTTTTAACAGGCATAGGCAACATTTTAAAAGCACATGAAAATGGTGGATCAAGATAGTGTGTTCCAGTACCTTGTAATCTAATGGAATACATCCATTTGCATCATAAATATTATCCTGAATTTCTTGAGTTGAGATGGTTTCTTGACCATCCTGAAATATTTGAGCATTTTCTGTCTGATCATCTCCCATCACAAGTTCTTGATAGTATACTTGACCAGATGCACTAGGATACGCTCTGTCTGAGATGTCACCATCTCCAGTAAGTTTTGATAGCAAATATCCACATGATTCTGCGTTTTTAGCTGCCAAATGCACTTCTCTGTGATGCTCATCCATCGTCGTGGAGTCAAAGGCCAAAAGCTCAGCTGAGGTTGTGGAGATCAAATCGGACCATTCACATCCCAAGACTTCATCATTGTCATGCACAGGCTCACCGCCGCCATCCAGGAGCCGGGTTTCAGTGGAAAACAAACATTTCCTTTTCTCCAATGTGTTTTTAACAGTTTGTGCAGCTTCTAACTTCCTAGTCTTATCCTGTTTAAGGTCTGATCTGACACCATGGCAGGGTGTCGTGTTATGGTCTGGACTGCCATTATCGAATTGGCCAGGTTGAGCCAAATCACATGGCCCAGTTGCAGGATCAACCACAGCTGAACATGTAACAGCGTGGGTTTCTCGAGTCACGGCACTAGTGCAGGCAAACAACCTAACAGCATTTGAAGACTTGGATGGCTTGTTTGTATCAGCGCTGTCAGCACAAACCTTGTTTTCAGAAATTTCACCAAGTGAACTCCTGCGAAGGGCAAAAAATACAGCGTCAAAATCACCGTAAAGGTTAAGCTCTGCACATTACACACATACAAAGTAATTATGAAATAATGACATCTGGATCGAGCTTACTTTGGGAGCCTCGGTTCCTTGTTCACATTGTCATGTGGAGAAGTGAAGATGGAGGAAATTGATGTTATGTTGATGGACTGAAACCCTTGGAGGCTATTCGTGTTGTAAGCCGACTTGAGAGGCTCAATCGGCGACAGGTTGTTGAGGAAGCTGAAAACTGGCGAGTCCTGCATCAATAGCGCAACGAAATATTATGAGCGAGCAATGGCAGAAATAGCACCGACGGAGAAGGCACGAAATTTTCAGTGCCCTGGTTGCACCCACAAATAGTAGTACTAGAAAACAGAGAGATTCCCTGCACTGAAAACAACCTGCATGTTCATCCATTTCAGCAGAAAAAAGCGCAAGTACATCAGTGGTACTTAATTAATACTACTGCAGAACGCATGAGTGTGCAGTGCAGGTACATTTGTTTTGTGCAGAACCACAGCGTTGACGAATTCGCAGCAGAGGAGGGGAGAAGAACCATGTGCAGAAAAGAAAAATGTGCTCTAAAACGGGATGCTAATAACGGTTAATCAATGCAAATCCCAGGTCAAACCGCCGAGTAGAACGGATCTGGCTCTGCAGAGGGTAGGTACGCATGCAGTTGGCAGGGCGGCACTGAGACAGTAAAGTATATTCGCGGAGATCTACTATCAACTGCGCCCTGCAGAAGCGTGAACCTTGAAGTGACACGAGCGAGGCATGACAGCGCGCTCGTGACCGCTGTAGGCGGGCAGATCTGGCGTGGCACTTGTCATATCACCGGTGTTGGTGTAGGCTCCGTGCCGGCTTGCGGCGGAATCGTGGCAGCCCGGCGCCTGACGGCAATGTGAAGAGAAGAAGCGAAGCAACTAGCAAGCATGCACCGGAGCGCGGCATGGGGATACGAATGCGACCGAGAGCGCGGAGCGGGGAACGGAATAGATTAGAAGGCCCTCAAAAATTTGTCCGCCAGAGCAAGGTAAACCGATTAACCGACGCTGCAGCGGCGAGGATGCCGCGAATCCGGCACCGCTGGCTCGCTGCAAGGCCAAGCCCCCCGTTCCAGCGAGGTCCAATAAAATCCCCCCTGCGAGGAACCGAACGAGTGTGTTCGTGGACAACAACAGGAACCGCAAAGGTGCGTCGGTTTGGTGGTCGGAACGCGGCCTGGAGGAGGAGTGCAACCGGCGGCCGGGACGGGGCTCTGGAACCGCCGTACCCCGGCGGCGGTCGGCTGGCCTTCCCGTCCCCGGCCTCGACGCGACGGGATGCCTGAGCAGCAGCGACGGCGAAAGGCAGGCTGGGAGGGAGGGAGGGAACTGCCCCGTGCGGTGGAGGAGGAGGAGGAAAGGGAAGGGAGAGAGAGAGAGGGGAGGTGGGGAGGAAGAGATGCGGTGGTCACCTCGGCGCGCGAGGCCGCGGGCTGCGCGGCGGCGCGGTCGGGCGTGTCCATCTCCGACGCGGCGCGGCTCGGCTCCTACCTCCGCTCGCGCTCCGCTGACTGGCTGCTCCGCTGACTCTCTGCTCTGCTCCCTCTCAATGTCGTCCTGCCGCTGCGCCGCGACAATGTGTCCCACGCCGTCCGTCCGTTCCGTTTGCTTGTGGCAGGGGCTGGGACAATTTTTCAAGGGCGCGAGGGCCAAGCCCTCGCCACGCGCCCTCTTTAGACGTGGCTATAGTGGTGTTCTCCACTTTGTGCTTGATCAGGAGCTTATTAGGAGCGGCGGCTGGGACAATTTTTATAAGCCGCGCGAGGAACAGGGTGGAGCTCATCTGTTTGAAAACTCGGGCTTCGCTCCTAGCAGTGGGCCCTCAATTGATAGTGGGCCCTCTGCCTTTCATCGAGATCCTCCCCTATGTAGTGCAATTAGCTGCGTTCGGTCTGGTACTATACTACATGTGAAAAAATATAACTAATACTGAATAAATATTACTGAACAAATATTATTAGATTATCCATGCAATATATTTTTATATCACATTTACTTATAAAATATTAATATGGAGTAGTAATTGACTTGTCCATACTGTATGTGAATTCTTTTGGAGAGTGGGATGCGAAGGGCACGGCGCTGATAACCTCTTTCGAACCGTCCAGTCCCGGCACACGGCAGTTGCGTGCGCGGCTCCCAAGCGCGTGCTTCCGGCTACTGTCCCACTGACTCGTCGGTCCCACGCTACCCACCCCGCTTTTATTACAGTCCCTCGTCGTAGTGGCCCGCGTCCTCGGCAGGGATCAAGGGGGATCTCCTGTGGCCCGCCCGCGCCCGTACTGCCTGTGTGTGCTGGCCGCCGGCCCGCGCCTGGTTGGCTGGCGGGGCGCGCGTAGGCATAAGGCCGCATTTACTCGCCGCCCGATCAACTTCGTGATCTGCGATGCAAGGACTGACAAGACTGGCAGACGTGACGGTGGTGGTGCGATGCGTCAGGGATACGGCTGCCTGCACATCCCAGCGGCCGCAGCAGATGGGCTCGCCAATTAAGGCCTGAATCAATGAAGGTGCGAGCGTTCGATTCAGGTTAGAAATCTGATGACGCGCAGGAGCAATTTTTGGCAGCAGCCCAGCAATAGCTTTCGCTACGATAAACCCCAAAGCTTCGATTATATTCCCTCCGTCCGTAAAAAAAATGTAATTCTATCTTTAAATTTTGACACACGTTTTTTTTTCTGAACGGAGGAAATATATATATATATATAGGGTAAGGCTATTCTATAGCTGACCATAGAATAACTTATTCTATAGCCACCTTGATTTACGATAATGTTTGTACCAATTTATAATAACATGAATATGCATTTACGATACTCGTGTTACTATAACTCACGGTGATATTTACCATAATGTTATAGTAAATCACTTAATAAGGAGTTACTGTAATCTCGTAAATTAGAATAGTAATTATCATAACTCAAAGTAGCAATAATAATTATTCATAATTATAATATATATATATATATATATATATATATATATATATATATATATATATATATATATATATATATATATATATATATATATATATATATATATAAGGTGACGAAATGGTAAATAGACATGCGTTCTTTAATAACTTCATTGTGCACCGCAGTACGGAGTATATATATAGGCTACTAAAAGAATGGAACACACCGGCCGGCATTCCTTCTATTTGTTCTCAAAGCGTGCCATGCATTTAGATCCAAGAAGAGTCGGTTTTGTAATTTTTATCTTTATGAGTTTATTTATGAGCTTACTAAACATTGCCAATCCTACTATTCGCGTATTAGCATGGGCTCATTCACATATTAGCATGGCAAGAGGTGGTAGAAGGCGCGGTCATGCAGATGCATGAGTCTGCTGCGAGCGTAAGAGTGATCCAGTCGGTGGAGACTTGGAGGTAGTCGACTAGTACTAGTAAAGACGAATTACCTGTCCTGCCGGATGGCCGGCCGGCAGTAGCCGTGTAGCCCAGTGCATGGCCAGTACGGACGCTACGCAACGCAGCGTCCGGGCGTACATCACGTGACGGCGTGGCAGGAGTACGTGCTTGCTTCTGACAACTGCTACTGCTAGCTAAGGATCGGAGATTAGGAGGCACGCGCGCATTTGGAGTAAATTCGGAACAATTACTGCTCCAACACGTAAGATGCGATGCCTGCAGTAGCACTTTGTGCTGGATCTACCTGCATTGCACACCGTGTTCCACGTACACGTACTGGATGGAGCTCGTTGCACCGGTACGTACTCCTACTACACAGCCAGCAGGTGGCCCGGATTCATCAAGGTTAGGAGTAGTACTGCTACTGCTACTGATGCCATGACTGAATTTTGCCGCGCCAAGCCGTGCAGACCCGGACCCGGGCCGCGATCTGCAACTAGTGTCCTGCGCAGAGCAGGGCAGCAAGGTCGGATGGGGGAGGTTCGCCGTCTCCAATCCAACACAACACTGCATCTCCTCTGCGCCTCAGCTAGCGGCAGCGCCTCCCTGATCGTCGTCGTGGCCGGCTGGGCGGGCGGGCGGCCCCAGCCCGACGCCCCGACCTGGAGTCTGGAGATGGAGAGGACGCGCGTACGTGCGTGCGTGGCCTGATCGATGTGCCGCATCCAGCTCTGGGTCCAGTGCGTCGGCAGATCCGCGCAGCAGCAGGAGCAGAGCAGCGTCAGCATCACTCGCCGGTCGGCCGCCAGCGCTTGTCTTGTCGCACAGGTACCCTGTGGTGGTGGGGAAAAAATTACATGGCGATGGTCCGCACTGCTGCCCGTGCGGACGTCCTATCCTCGCATGACGTGTGTTCAAAAGATTCATCTCCGCGATTTCTAACTAAACTATGCACGTTGGTTATTTTTTTTTATATTAAACGATCAAAAATTTTAAAAATTAATGTGTTTTTCTCTCAAAAAAACTTAAATAGCCTACATAAATCCGCACTGCTGCCCGTGCGGACGTCCTATCCTCGCATGACGTGTGTTGTGTCCCGCACCGCGCTATGGCTCCTGGACGGCTCGGCTCGCAAGTCCACGTGCCGCGATTTCATTGGAAGTCCGCACCATGCCGGGTGCGGGTGGTCCCTACCTATTTTTTTTTTCCGTGGGGGTGTGGTGCGGTGTGGGTCAGTTGACCCTTTTCACGTATGGTTCATGGACGAAAGCGTGTCAGCAATTTACAATGGCAATTGAAGTACTGAACACAAGCACACAGATTAACGAGACGTGCAGTTTAATTAATAGCGACGGCGACGACAGCTAGCTAGCTTTGCTGCCTTATGCCAGTCTTAATGGAAATTTCGTGAGAGTTTTATAGACATTAAATAATCTGATGAGACATAGTATAAATGGTTTTAAGTGATGAAATAAGTTTTATGTAGACGAAACTCGTCTACTTTGTTTTTAACACATGAAGGTCTTGAAAACACTGAGATGAAACTCCTCCACCGAGACTGACCTTATATTGTTGCATGTTTATTTACCGTAATAACCGTACCTTAACATTTGGCAGTAACTAACTTATTTATTGCCTTTTGGGTGTAGTACTAGGTAATTATTAAGGTGGTAATGAGAGCGAGCAGTTTGGAGTTACGTCTCCGATCCGTGCGACCGTGCGTAGTAGTACAAGCATGTTGGGTAGTTGGAGTGTTTAGGGCCAGTTTGGATGCCAAAATTTTTTGGCAAAACGCTACTGTAAGCGTTTTTCGTTGTTATTTGACAATTAGTGTCCAATCATAGTCTAATTAAGCTTAAAAGATTTGTCTCGTGGATTTCGTCTAAACTGTGTAATTAGTTTTATTTTTTATTTATATTTAATGCTTCATGCATGCGTCCAAAAATTCGATGTGATAGAGAATCTTGAAAAATTTAGCATTTTGAAAAATTTAGCATCTTGGGTGCAACTAAACAGGGCCTTGATCAGCCTCGATCTTGGTGACTTCTGCCAGTCCAGCGCGGTGAATGATTGCCGGCCGAGACCGCCGCGAGACGCCACCCACACCCAGCGAAAGCCTAGCTAGGCTATACCTAGGAGTACTCGTGGCAAGGCATCTCGCAGCAGCCTCTGCCTTGGCCTCTTCCAGCCTCGGTTCCCGCGTCCACCAGCCGTTGCCTGCTGCCTCTGCCCGGAAGGCGTTCCTTTTTGCTGGCTGCCGTGGAATCGTGGATAGTCGTCCTCTCTCTCTTGGTTGGACAAGTACAACCACGTCCCACAGTTGCGACTCTTGTTATCGGGGCGTCCACCTGGTGCCAATGTTTTGGCTCTCCCGCGCCGTCATTATCGCCACAAACAACGCGCGCGCTGGATTATCTGCAGTAGAAGCACAAGGAAGAGGTAGAAGGTGCGGCATGCAGATGGATACGGTTGGAGATAGAAAGGCCGGATCAGGATACGGATAGGGATAGACGTGCGCTGCGACTGTCAGAGGCTATGGAGTAGTACTAAACGTGCGCTGCGACTGTCAGAGGCTACGGATACCGGTCCCTTAATTGCCATCGAAAATTATGAGTTTTCTTCATTGCCATCTGTTTCTAATTTTTTGATCCCCTCATTGCCATCATACATCTATTATTCCTCTCATTGCCATCTAATTACATCATTTATTTTCTTCGTTGCCATTGTCCATACATAATGGAGCTTCAAGTCCCAAATTTACCCCTGCCTCCTACCTTGACCCTAACAACGCCCCTGCACAGCCTAGATCGAGTTCTGTTCTGCGCCTCCGTCTCCAGTCCAAGAGAAGGCTTGCAGCCTTAACCCAGCTCCTCTCTCTATGGGTGCATCGAAGCAGGCAAGAGCTCGCGTGCCGGGCCTGTTGGAACTGACCTACGATCAGGTCGGCGCAGGCGCTTAGGTGCCAGAGACGAACAGGCCGGCGCAAGCGCTTCTTCCTAGACGCGATGAAGTCAACAAGAACTCTCACACACGGGGGATTGGATTATTTGGAGTGGAACACGAACGCAGAGGCACGAGTACATGGCTATTTGAAGCCCAGCGACACAATGCCGAGCAACAACTACTGGCCGGGTTCTCACATAAAATGCGATGCCTGCAGTAGTACTCTGTGTTGGATCTACATGCATGCACACCGTGTTCCTGTTGGATATGACGTACACGCGTGCTGGAGCTAGTTGCACCGCTACGTACGTACGACACAGCCCGCAGGTGGCACGGATTCATCAAGGTCACTAGTACTGGTGTTATGACTGATGAGTTAATTTTGCCACACGCGATCTGCAACTAGTGTCCTGGGCAGGGCAGTGCAGGGCAGCAAGGTCGGATGGGGGAGGTTCGCGTTCGCCGTCTCACTGGATGGCGCCGCGCGCGACTTTAGTTTTATTTCGCCCCTGCTTGCAGTTGCAGTTGCAGTTGCTGGCCCTGCGTCCCAAGTCTAAGCCTCCTACGCACTCTCCTCTCCGGGTCGTCAGACCCCTCTGGGCTCTGCTGCTCTCTTCCCTTCCGTTCCGCGCCTCCATGACCATGATTAGCGAGCGGTCCAATCGATCGTCGTCGTGGCCGGGCGGGCGGGCGCGCCCCGGCCTGGAGTCTGGAGATGGAGAGGACGCACGTACGTGCGTGCGTGCGTGGCCATATGGCCGCGCGTCGCGTGCCTGATCTGATCGTTGTGCCGCGTTCCGGCATCCCGGCCGCATCCAGCTCTGGGTCTGGTGCGTCGATCGGCAGATCATCCGCAGCAGCAGCAGCAGCATCGCTCGCCGGCCGGCCGCCAGCGCTCGTCTTGTCGCGCAGGTACGGTACCCTGTGGTGTGTGGTGTGGTGTGGGGCCAGTGGATGTGGCCCCGCCCTTTTCACGTTACTAGGATGAAAATGGTCGGAAACGGTAATATAGAAAACGGAAGAGGTCAGTTCGAAATATTTCTATATTTTAGCAATTAAAGAGTAAAAAAAATGGTTGCGAAACCAATTGAAAATAACAAATTTTTATGTTTGACAAAATTCGAAAACAATATCATAATATAGAAAACGGTATAATAATATAGAAAACGAAAGCGATTAATTCGAAATATTTCCGTACCATTTTCATCCTTACCGTGCATGGTTCATGGACGAGCACACACAGATTAACGAGACGAGCAGTTTAATAGCGACGGCCACGAGAGCTAGCTTTTGCGGCCTCACATTGTTCCATCTTTATTTACCGTAATAACCGTAACTTAACATTCGGCAGTAACTAACTTATTTATTCCCTTCTGTGTGCAGTACTAGGTAATTAAGGTGGTGGTAATAAGGAGCGAGTAGTTTGGAGTTACTTCTCCGATCCGTGCGACCGTGGGAAGTCGGAGTGTTTGGATCAGCCTCGATCCTGTTGCTGCTGTTGTGTGGTCCTCCTCCCGTCCCAATAAAAGTGTTGTTTTAATTCACACGGTGTTTGCGACCAATGTCGCTTTAGACATGGCCAGGTGCGGGTCCCATACCTAGTGGTGCAACACTCTTGTTTGCACTGTACCTACTCGGCAACGAATTTGTGTTTGTCATCGAAGAGGCGGCTCCGAGGCCGTCCGTCCACCAACTTCCACAGAGATAGTGTTTGTCATTTGGTTGTGGCGGCCGTCCCATAACAACAAATAGAAATGGACATGAATGAAAGGAGAATGAGGTTGCTCTTCCATAACCGTTACAACAACAAATCAAAGTTTCAGCATGAAATAGTTGGCCTCAGACATGCTAATTTAACAATTCATGGCATTACTGGCTACATGGGATAATCAAAGTCAGTAAAGAAGAACAGAAGCATGGGTCAGTCAAGTTTTGAAGACAACAAATGAAAATGGTCGGAAACGGTAATATACAAAACGGAAGCGGTCAGTTCGAAATATTTCTATATTTTAGCAATTAAAGAGTACAAAAAAAATGGTTACGAAACCAATTGAAAATGACAATTTTTTATGTTTGGCAAAATTCGAAAACAATATCATAATATAGAAAACGGTATAATAATATAGAAAACGAAAGCGATCAATTCGGAATATTTGTGTACCGTTTTCATCCTTACCGTGCATGGTTCATGGACGAGCACACACAGATTAACGAGACGAGCAGTTTAATAGCGACGGCCACGAGAGCTAGCTTTTGCTGCCTCACATTGTTCCATCTTTATTTACCGTAATAACCGTAACTTAACATTCGGCAGTAACTAACTTATTTATTCCCTTCTGTGTGCAGTACTAGGTAATTAAGGTGGTGGTAATAAGGAGCGAGTAGTTTGGAGTTACTTCTCCGATCCGTTTGTCGTTTTAATTCACACGGTGTCCCAATAAAAATGTCGTTTTAGACTTGTAGGTGCGGGTCCCATACCTAGGAGTGACACCACTCTCCACTGTACTACTCGGCAACGAGCTCATCGGCGGCTCCGTGGCCGTCCCGTCCCGATTCCTGCTGGCGGCTCCGCGCCCGTCCCTACTCCTATACCGACGGCTGCATGCCCGTTCCAAGTCCTACCAGCGGCTCCACGCTCGTCCCCACTCCACACCCGTCCGGCAGATCTGCGCCCGTTGTCTCCACCCTCGCCGGCGAATCCGCGCGCCGTCACTGGTTCCGGCCAAGGTGGGGCAGCGGCGAGTGAGCGAGTGGTGCTCGACCACGGCCTCCACTTTCCTCTTCTTTTCCACCCGTGGCCCCGCCTCTTCTTCTCCGCCAGTGGCCCTGCCTCATCTTCTCCGCCCGCGGCCCTGCCTCTTCTTCTCCGGCAGCATTGAGGTGGGGCGCGGTCCCGAGCGAGGTTGGCGCAGCCCCCCCGGTGAGGATGACTGAGGCCCTAGGGGGAGGGCGGTGCAGCCCCTGGCAAGGCCGGGCATGGCCCCCGTGATGCACCTCTTCCTGACGCAGCTGCGGTCGCGCCGCCTCTTCCCGGCGATGGCAAACGTGGCGCAGGCGCTGCTAGAGGGGCGACCCAGCGTCGAGGCGGAGGTGGCGTCATGACCTGGTGGTGGTGGCACAGAGACAGAGCGGCCCGACGTCGGAGAAGGAGGCGCGAGGTCAGTGGGCAAGTTTTGGATCTAGAGGGAGAAGAGGAGCACAAGAGAGCAGTGATTATTAGGGCCTTGTTTAGATGCCACCAAAATTCCAAGTTTTTTCACTCTCTCTCCATCACATCAATTTTTTACCTACATTTAATGCATGCAAGAGTATTAAATGTAGGTAAAAAAAAACTAATTACACAGTTTAGTTGGAAATCACGAGATGAATCTTTTGAGCTGATTGGTCGCAATTGTTGATATTTTATCAAATAAGACGAAAGTGAACGTCTTATTCATCGGGGAGTACAAATTTTTTCAATAAGCCATTAAACGAGGCCTAGAATAGGGGCATGTTGGTCTTTTTTCTCCAGTCTTGGTAGCTGTGTCCCATCGCAGAACGTCTCTTGTTCTGGGACGGAGGGAGTACATCCACGGATTGATGTTTCGATAAGCCATGTAGTGTGTAGGGCAGGTCCAACTCCAGGCTGGATTATCGTACGTCTCATGCATGAGGCCATGTAGGTTTGGAAGCCACACGGATGAGAGAAAAGTACATCAACAACTGGAATTCCTTGGGCACGACATTGTTTTGCTCGCTGCCAAATGCGCTGCACTTTATACCTGATCATCTGGAACATTTGTGCTACTGTAGTTGTAGCTTTCCTTTTTAGTCTTCCACGATCACTTCTCTCAAGCAATGTTGCATAGATTTGTTGTCGTTCAATTTCTGTCAAATTTCTAGACTGATGTGCATTGTTTTCATTTGCATGGTGATCTTCTTCGACATCGAGCCCTCCAACTCCTCTTCATCGAAGACTATGTCCACAGCATGAGCGTAAACACCATAGTCATGCATGTCTTCCATCATGCCTACAAAAGAATTAAATGGTGAGTTTTGGTGCAGATTTGTAAGTGTTAATTTTATTTAAGAATTGTGGTTCAACATGAGTGTAAGAATCTGGGTCTAGAATATTTTTTATATGGTAGACAGACATTAACTAGTTGAAAAATCTTTTGTCGAATGGACTATAACTGCAGGCCTTTTTCATCCATTAAAAAGGAAAAGGGTAGATGGTCGTTAGTTTACCGTATGCATCTGCTGCTGCAGATCAGAAGGTGCAAAGTTTAGATCAAATTGATGTGGTGGGCCGTCAAAGTTGAGACATGCAGCCTGGGATGCTCTTCCTCTACTCCAATTACTGCAATGAGGTGAGGCACAATATTTAGTTCAAGTTTGATTTTAGTTGGAAATAGGTAATTCGAATCGAGCTTGGTCTCTCGCTGTCCGGATGCAATGAAGAGAAAAGAATCACCTTTATGATGTTCTTGTTCTCCTCGTAACCAAAGAAACATTGAGATCAATGACATGCAAACCAAGGCATTCATTGTGATCAAGATGTACGGGCTGACCTTGGAGATGGGCTTCATCTTCATAAAGTTGATCTTCCTGGAGACGAGCGATTTCATCTTCTTGCTCATACACAGGGTTTTCATTGAGATCAGGTAAGAGGTGTCCATGTTGATCTTGGAGATGGGCTTCATCTTCATAAAGTTGATCTTGCTGGAGACTCATGATTTCATCTTCTTGCTCATACGGAGGCTGTTCATTGAGATCAAGTAGGACCTCTCCATGAGGATCTGAAAGAGTGTTTAGATCTATGGGCATGGCTGATGATGGAAATGGCTTCCAGGCTGATGGAGTGGGTGGTCTCGTGTGTCCTACAGTTATACAAGGGAAGGAGGGGTGTTGCACAGGCGGGAAATCCCCTGGCGCGGTGGTTCAAATTTTGCATTCCCCATGATTGATTCTGAGCCACAAACTGTGGGCAAGCTTTCTGTAATGACACGTGTAATGGCCGTGTCTCTAGAGTGTTCTCCGAAACTTTGCGAATGTTACACGTGTAATACCTCTCCTCTCGTACTGGCTGCAATTGCTCCTGCCTGATTCTTCTTGTTTGCAATGATTACAAACATGTCAAATCAGTTCATAGGGGTATTCTGATATTTTCTATGTTGCATTGGTATCTGTGTCCAGTCCTCCGATTGCACTTTTTGGTGGGACGGAGGGAGTAATACCTCTCCTCTCGTACTGGCTGCAATTGCTCCTGCCTGATTCTTCTTGTTTGCAATGATTACAAACATGTCAAATCACTTTATAGGGGTATTATGGTAATTTTCTATGTTGCATTGGTATTTGTGTTCAGTCATCCGATTGCACTTTTTGGTGGGACGGATGGAGTAATATACAGTGTATTCTAAATTTTTTTTTGGGTGTGCTCGCAGCAGCCACTTCTAGCTCTAGCTGTGGGTGTGGCTGAACACGGTCAACATTCTACCAGAATAGAAAATAGCCACAGCTAGAGCCCAAAAATATGTTTAAGATTAGATTAGGTGAGAATACAAAAGACATATGTGTTCTCACTTTATTTCCTAATCGACGCTATCATCAACATGATTAGTAGTGATTGGTTGATAAATGGAAATTAGTTAATGCAAAACTATTTAATGTCCCCTAGAATCACTTATTTGAGTACAACTTTTTAAATGCTTGTATGTGCTACTCCTCAATCCCAAGAAGAATATAATTCTAGAATATTACTATGTCTTAGTATGTCAAATTTGACGAAATTTGTATAAACAAATACTAATATTTATTTTATAAAAGTGGTACTATTAAATTCATCATGAAACATATTTTTATAGTATATATTTGATGTCATAAACATTAATATTTTATTTATATATTTGGTCAAACTTTAGACACTTTTAACCTTGATGCACCTGAAATGTATTCTTTTCAGGTTACGGGACGGAGGAAGTAGACTATTAGACACCTTTTGTGCAGGATAACAGTACACAAGTGGTGACCGGTGAGTGCTAGCCTTCACAGGATGTCGGGTTGGAGTAGTGGAGAGAGGAATTGACAAAGCTAACATAAACTATAATTACTAGCACCGATCGAGCTAATAACCGGGATTTGAGTTGCTTATACGAGATCAAAAGAAACCTTAGCATGCTGTATATATATATAGTACTCATTTATATAAGGTCTGTCCTCCCCAGGTAATTTGTCCGCCTTGACAGTCACGACATTTCAGAAGCTAGCCTTCTGGCTTAGTACTACGGTTCCTTCATACAAGTACTACGTCAACTATTGGTGCCGTTCATTTTGACTAGAACTAGACTTTTGCCTGTCCAGTGCGGCGACCAGTGGCGCCAAACTACCGAAGTGTGAAAAAATTAGTTGGAAAAGAAAGTATAAAGTGTTATATAATAGCTAGTTTGACTATTAAGAATATGTAATTAAGAATGTGGAGAACAAATTTAGTGAGGAAGGAAATAAACTGTTCTCTTTTCTCTTATTACCTTCCCAATACATAAGCTCTTCTATATATAGCCATACATGTGAGATGAGATTACAAGAATTGATGCTAGGAGAGTTACACCGTTGAAGTAGAAGGTTATAGCTTTGATGGTATAGGGGTTATGGACATCCACATTAATATTTTATAACACTCCCCCTTGATGTCCATTAACAGGTGAATTTCATGCCTCGTGAAAAACCTTGCCAAGAAAAAACCTAGTGGGAAAAAAACCATGGCCAAGGAAAAAAGAGTACACACATATTCACTCCCCCTGATGACAACATCACTTGATGTCTTTCAGCCGTCGCAATCCAATACCATGTGCTAATTTCTTGAATACTGAAGTTGAGAGTGTCTTTGTGAACAAGTCTACTAGATTCTCACTTGAACGAATTTGTTGGACTATTATAATACCATCCTTTTGAAGATCATGAGTGAAGAAAAACTTTGGCGAGATGTGTTTCACTCTATCTCCTTTTATGTACCCATCTTTCAATTGAGTTATGCAAGCCGCATTGTCTTCATGTATAACTATTGGCGCTTCCTTTTCTGAAAGTAAATTGCATACCTTGCGAATATGATGTGTCATATTTCTCAACCAGACACATTCTCTGCTAGCTTCATGGATAGATAAAATTTCTGCATGGTTAGATGAAGTTGCTGCTATAGTTTGCTTCATTGAACGCCATGAAATAGATGCACGACCACACATAAATACATATCCTGTTTGTGAACGACCATTGTGTGGATCAGATAGATATCCTGCATCTGCAAAACCAACTAATCCCTCCATGCATTTGGTAGAAAAATATAGACCCATGTCCTTCTTACCTTGCAAATAACGACGTATATATTTTATCACATTCCAATGTCTTCTAGTAGGACAGGAACTATATCTTGCTAATAAATTAATAGCAAATGCAATATCAGGTCGTGTATGAGTAGATAGATACATTAGTGCTCCTATAGCACTTAGATACGGCACCTCAGGACCAAGAATTTCACTATCACATTCCGGAGGTCGAAAAGGGTCTTTGGTCACATCAAGGGATCTAACAACCATTGGGGTACTCAATGGATGCGCTTTATCCATGTAAAATTGCTTTAGTATTTTCTCTGTGTAAGTCACTTGATGCAAAAGAACTCTATCTTTAAGATGTTCTATTTGCAAACCAAGGCAAAACTTTGTTTTCCCCGGATCCTTCATTTCAAAAATTTTCTTCAAACAATCTTTCGCCTCAGTGATTCCTTGAGGAGTAACAATTAAGTTTAGATCATCAATATATACAACTATGAACACAAATTCAGATCCAGATCTTTTTATGAATATACATGAACAAATAGAGTCATTCTTATACCCTTCTTTTATCAAATACTCACTAAGACGTTTGTACCACATTCTCCCAGATTGTTTCAACCCATATAGAAATTTGTTCAATTTAATTGAGTATTGTTCTCGAGAACCTGCTCCTGGTAGTTTAAATCCTTCTGGTAGTTTCATATATATGTCACTATCAAGTGACCCATATAAATATGTTGTAACAACATCCATTAGACACAAGTCAAGATTCTCTTTCATTGCCAGACTTATAAGGTATCTAAAAGTTGTTGCATCCATCACGGGAGAGTATGTTTCTTTATAATCAATTCCCAGTCTTTGAGAGAATCCTTGGGCAACCAATTGTGCCTTATATCTTGTGATTTCTCCTTTCTCCTTTCTCCTTTCTAAAAGGATCTAAACAATGCCTAGAGGGGGGGTGAATAGGCGTATTTAAAAATTTCCACACAAAACTCAAAGTCACTTGTCAGCAACTGTCGGAAGTCCCAACAGTTTGGGTCGAAACTCCCGACGTTGTTAGAAGTTTCGGCGCAAACTATCAGAAGTTCTGACACTTACAGGGAAAGAACTACAAGTGCTAAAATGAACTTTGTGAAGCCGATAACTTACAACTCCACTTCCTAGTGGTAAAGTGAAGCATTGGGGTTGCTCCTTTGACGCCGAAGGGTCACCACTCCGTAGATCGTGTCCAATCCCTAAGAGAAACTTTGGGGAGGAAGAGACACAACCAAGAACAAATATGATAGCACAAATCACAACAACAACAAGTACACGGGACACAAGGATTTATCATGAGGTTCGGCAACCCCACAAAGGAGCTCCTACGTCCTCGTTGTTGAGGTGCCCACAAAGGTCAGAGTCTCTTCCACCTCCTAGCCTTTCTCAAAGCAACCACAAAGGTCACTTGAGCTTTCCACTGAGAAATTAAGGGTAATACAAACTTTCAAGGCTCTTTCATAAGATGGAAGCTCTTGAGCGATGCCTAGCCGGCTAGGGGTCTAAGAACCCAAGAGTAATAGACACAAATCCAACTGGCTTGATGAAGAAATCAAGTGCTTAAGCTTGCCAAAGTGATTATTTCACTTAATCCACTCTCCTTTCACTCAAAACCCTAGGAGAATCGAAGATTGGAGCAAAATGGAGAGGAGGAGGGCGCCTTGAATGCTTGGGAGCTGTTCTAGACGAAGGTTGGTGAGCAATGAATGAGTGGGTAACGGTTAGAAGAGAGGAGAGAGCTATTTATACTCATAGTAGAATCCAACCGTTTAGATCTGCGTGGGAAGTTCCGACACAGATTGCTGGAACTTCCAGCTCTACGCAAAAATATTGTTCACGAAGACAGTCCACTGGGCTTGCTCGCATATCGTCGGAACTCCTGGCAGTCGCCGAGACTTTTGGCAGCTGGAACTTCCAGCTTCCATCGGGACTCCCGACAGACATGGCGAGCCAGGCGACTAAGTCCCAAAGCACCGGGACTTCCGGTGGGAGCCGGGACTTTCAGCACCCGGAACTCCCGACTCCCGTTGGGACTTCCGATGGGCGAAGGTGCGCAGGTGGGCTGCGGCTAAGTCGGCAAGCATCGGGACTTCCGGCACCAAACTTTGGGACTTCTGATAGCCGAAACTCCCGACTCACGCTAGGACTTCCGACTACCAAAAGTCCACAAACTATGTCTAAGTGTTCGTTAGGTGATTTTGTGTCTCTCTTTCGATTTTATTTTTATGCTTGAGCTCTCTATCTTCCTCAGACCACCTAAACTTGCATCCCTCTTTATAGTATGGCATACCTAAACCCAAAACAAAACATAAAAGCTTTGGAGAGAGCTTTGGGTTCGTTCGCTTTTTGCACTTGAAGAATTGAGGGATACCATTTCATCGTAGATCAGCTCTTTAAAGCTTTCAAGGGACTAAAGCTGTAATATATCTCATTAAGATCTCATTAGTCCCTAATTTGGATGTCATC